TTTTGTTTTGGGTTTTTTTTTTTTTTTTTTTTTTTTTTTTTTTGAGAAGTGTTAAGCTTAAAAAAAAAAAGATAGCTATAGGAATAAAAAAAATTAGTTTTGGAATATTTATATCTACCCAAAAGACACCATGGAGATCAGAGAAGGGAATTGATTGTTTCTTGTGAGAACGTGAATTGGCAGAAACTTTTCTGTATTATCATGTAGGCATGGTTACTCAAGAAATATGCTATACAAATTTAATAATGAGTAACAGGATCATTTAGCTCTTCTAGTATTATAGCTAGAAATTAGTATTTGTAGTTTGAAGTGTAGCCTAAAGATGAGTGTGGATTAGTGACTAAAGGACGAGCTACAAAAAATCCATAAAGCAGGATTAAGGGACCTAGAATATTGCAGATACTATTTGTACTTAAGGACAGTCATACAAATCACTCACATATTATAGTATATTTTTTTTCTTACTAAAATCTCATCCAAGTTATAATTTCTCAGTAAATTCAGACTGTCATTATTCACTGCTTAATGTTGAGTTGGAAGAACCCAGCTGTGTCCTAGTAAGCAGGAAAGGGAAACTACTTCTAAGGTAGAAAAACCAGTATTTGGAGATTACAGTGAGAAAATGACAATTGTTTAGAGAATGTGGTGGTGAGTACTTCCTTAGCTACATGGCAACAGCCTTTAGCCAATGGATGCTTTTCTTCTTCTCTGCGTTAATTTGCTTATGGACCAGGACATCACCATTTATGTCTTATTGAATTATTACTGTGCAATGTAGCTTAGTAGATGTTGTTATTTCATAGTAGGAATGACAAGAAATGGATTGAGTAGAAGTATAGGTTCTTTATTAGCCTCCTGCCTTACAGCTTTTAAAAAGATCTTGTATGTGGAAGATGTGTCAGCCAACATCTGAATGAACAAATGTCCCAAACTCCTGATCAAATGTCATTTACTTTTCTGACTTCTTTTTCATTATGGTTTTATTGTGATTTCAGAAATGTGGTGGCTTCTGACATACAAAAATTACAAACCTAATTCTGTTCAGAAGTGACATGACTGAAATGGAGAACTGTATACAACAGAATCAGATTTAAAATTGTTTTCTTTGGGAATTTGGTGCTCTGAACGGCATAATGGGTATGCACACTTCCTAAAAGTCTGAAGCAAATTCTAATATTTAAAAGTGTTTCCAGCTACAGTAAAAAACAGCAATCTTTGTTTGACTTTGTTACGTATGTTGACTAGGAGAGAGTTGGATAGGGTACTTAGTATTTTTATAAATAAAAGCCAGTGGTATCATATGAGAACATACAGAAGTGAACATGTTTCATGAAGATCCATTTTCCTTGGTAAAGAATTTCGCACAGCTTCATTTTGCATTGTCATTGAGCATGCTGCATTTTATCCTGGTAAAAATCAGTACCTTTCAGTCCATCATGCTGTACCAGCAGCAGGCCAGCCCCTCTCCATGTACTTGGTGGGTTTTATGTGTGGTGTGTTTCTTTTCTTAATTGCATGTTTCGAGATAACTGTTAACAATTTTCTAAAATTATTTTTAGCTTTAGATCCGGCTAAAGATCCATGTTTAAAGATGAAATGTAGTCGCCATAAGGTCTGTGTTGCACAGGATCAACAAACTGCTGTTTGCATTAGTCACCGAAGGCTTACACACAGGTAAATACTTTAAAAGTTAATCCTATAGACTTTTTTATAGTGTTCGTGACTGACTGTAAACCATAAATACACTATAACTAGTCTAGTTATTTAACAACATATGAGCACAGTAGGAGTGAATTTTAGAAGTAATTATGTATGCATAATTTGATTAGAATGCTTTATATTTGATTTTTTTGATAGGCTGGTAAACTAGAGGGTGTACATATTTTAAATACCACAAGCTGCTGATACAAATACATTTAAGGAAATACCAACTGTGCTAGTACCAAATGAATACAACAATTGTGGTAATGTCCTGCTGCTGTACATTACTTTGACTTCATCACTTCTTATATGAAGTTAGAGACCTCAAAACTGCCTGTCAAAGTGTAGGTAATGGCCTGATGTAATGTAAGGGGTTTTTTTCTTCTTTTTTGTTTTCTTCTATGCATTCCAATTTTCTTTACATTCTGGACTGGTTAAATATAAGGAACAAATACATGATAAAGTTATTTGAGAATCTGAATGTAGGTGATTTTTATTCTTACCTTGTTTTGGGAGAACAGTTCCAGATGCTCTATTTATGTAAGTCTTAGAGTAGCAAAATATCGATGTACTTCTGTGGCTTTATCTGGGGCAGAGTGTGACTATGTAGGGGGTTGTACCATACACTTAGTTGAGTCATGAGCTTGTTGTTTGTTCAGGGGGTGGAGTCAAGTTTCATATTTGACTTGGGATTATTAATTTTTTTTGCACTTCATTGTGGGAAATACAGCATAGTAGAAAGGCTAAGCTTCAATAACATGATTGAAATAAGTGTGTGTTAAAGTGCTTTGCTCAGTAGGGGCTGAAAAGAGCTAAGGAAGATAGAGACTTTCTTGTCTGATATAAGAGGATCATTTCAGGCTTTTTAGAGAGCCAGTACAGTTTTATGAATGATACAAGGAATGTTCTTTTGAGTGTCTAGTTATGTTTAAATACACCCATCTGTAGCTTTTCAAACAAGCAAGATGGTACATAGTTGAAAGGAAAAGTTTAAACTATCCTCAATCTGCAGCTGTAGCTAATTAACAAAAAAGCTCTCCATTATTTGTAGAGCTATACTGTTTATATCAAACAATCTCAGTGTATTGCTAGACATTTTGGTTTCACAACTGCCTGTGAACTGTCAGGGGAATATGTCAGTGTCAACTGTGAAAAGACAACACAATCATTTGAAATTTCTGAGAGATATTACACACACTATTGAAAACAGTGGAAAAAATGACATCTCCAAGTTAAGTATACATGCAGCAGGTAAGAACTGGAAACTTTGATAGACTAGATGAAGCTGCATAGAGTGGTTGAATTAATAAGCATATAGATGTCTGCCTTCATACCTGTATTATTACTCCCGCAGTCCTTGGCACTCCTTTAGAAAGGTGATATTTCAAGAGGCAAAGCTTGTCGCAATATAATACAGTCTCGTAATGGGAAACTTCGGAATGGCAGCAACTTGGTGATTGTAATAAGTACTGCAAGTCTGGTCTTCATTGTTAGATGAAGTGATTCTCTACCTACCCTGTCCTGAGCCAGGCCAGGGATTTCCCAAGCTTAGATCTCCCTGTTCCCCCAGATTACTAGGTTCAAGGAGAAATCAATTGCTTTGAGCTTTCTTTCTAAAGAAGTTTTCTTCTTGCAGTCTCTGACCTTTCTCTAGTATGGTGGGGAAAAAAGTATGAATAGCATATTCACAAGCGGTCATGTCTGCTGTTCTCTTTACCTCTATTAATTCCTTTAGCCCAAGATTTTATTCCTTCACAGATATCTACAATTTGCATATTGATTTTTCAACAGAGCCATCTATTTTTCCAAGTTCCCAAGGGACCAGTCCACTCATTTATAAGTCTTGGTAAAAATTGGATAAGAAAGGTAATATTATCAACTGTCAAGTTATATTATCTACCTGTATCCATTTTTAATATATCAGTTGCGTGTGTTCAATCTGTTGGGAATGAATCTTTACAAAATTTCATCCTAATAATTTTCCCTTTCTCACTTTGTCTGTGTGTGCATGTGGCGTGTTATTAAAAGATTTGATAGTTTGAATATTTCTTTTAATTTTTTTTTTAAGAAAAGGCAGTTGGGGATGTCTTCTAGAAAAAAAGTTAAGACCTTTTTCATGGATTATTGGGAACTCTTCATAAAGAACTCGTCCACAGATATCCATTTGGACATAATTGTTGCATAGATCCATAGATGTTCCAGAGATTCCAGACTCTTGCACAGGAAAAGTAGTTTTAAGAATGTGAACTGATACAGTGGCAAAGACTATCCTCAGGAGACAGTCAGGGAAGAGCAGACTCTTCATACGTCTAAGATAAATGAAAGTTTTATGGGCATCTCTGGGCTACCCCAAGGAAAGAAGCCTGAAATACACTGGAGTATCATCAAGTTGAAAATCTCAGACTTACAGTTAAATTCTCCGTTATTAGAAGCAGCATTTCCAAGCAGCCCTATTACCTTGTTCATAAAATTCTGCATATAAATTCTGTCACTCTTTGAAGTAATAGCATAGACAGAGAGGTTGCTAACCAGTGGAGGCTGGTAACTGTATTGAATGGAGAAGCCGCATTAATAATGTCTTTTGTTGTTCTGTTAGAAGTTGACTTGCAGAAAAACTGCTTAGGCATATTCCATCCATGCTGTCCTGGGGGTTCTTATCTGTACAGTATGATTTCCAGACTGTTGTAGCCCTGTATGGATTACTGAGGGTACCTCAGGACCACGCCATGAAGCATGTGATCAGTGGATGTCCCAGCCATTTACAAGGCCGTTAGTGATGTGATATGACATGGTGCAACACGATTAATTAATGTGAGGGTATACTCTACTGATGTGATGATTCTACCTGTGCTTCCAGAAGTATTAAAATTAGTATTAGCTCAGGGATCTCAGCACTGTGCTCTTGCTGCAGTGTGCTTGCCTTTGCATGGTTTCAAAACCAGCTACTGCATCCCTGTCCTTTTTATGGCGATATGCATCAGGCAAGCCTATGGTTTTGCTATTTTTTCAGTTTCCATAGCAGCAGAGATAATGGTTTGCTCTCAGTCTTGAGGTACTGCACACAGGGCTCGTCTCCTTTTCTGGAAGACTGCCAGGATGGCAAGTCCTCTTCTACCATGCTTCTACAGTGCCACAGTGTCCTGATGCAAGAGTTGCCTTTATGTACTGTTCTGGAAAGATTGAAGAGTATTTGACAAAAATGTGAAATCAGTGTTGTTGATCATCGGTCTTGAGAGTAGGTCGGAGTACCAGAGCTTTAGAAAGTATGGGGGCATGGTTAGAGGTCCCAGATTTGTCTTGATAGCAGGTAATTGCATTTGCATCTCTGCTGGCTATAACTCTGTTGGAAGCTGCGTTCTGTGTACTGTGCTCTTAGCTGTGTCCTATGAAAGAAAGAGGAAGTACTTTAAGAGGGGGAAAGTATGCAGTATATATATTATTTATCTAACTACTTCCATGTGGATTGCTGTGGGAATGGAGTAGCTGCCTGCACTAGAATGCATGATAAACAAGTAAATTCAAAGTCTGGTGTGAAATAGACGTTTTCATTGATTCTTTGAAAGTCTGGAGACTAACGTTAACTTTTCTTTTTGTCTAAATGGTGTTTTAGCATTCCTTTGTGCTTTCCAATTTATCTTTATTGGTTAAGTGATAAGCTTTATGGGGGGAAAAAAACGCTGTAGAGTGTGCATACAATAATGAGATGCTTTGGAGTATACCTCATTCAGTTACAAATACAACTTGTAGAATATTGGAATACGGTATTACCAATACTGTGATACAGTGATGCGAATGTTACGGTGACAAGCAGGTTGTTCATGATACTAATAGAAATTTGGCTACTTGTTCTAGTTTTCAGTCACTTAACTTTCAGAAGATTTAATTATTTGAATCTGTGGTACTGACAATCTCTGGGAACTATGAGTTCACTTATGTGGGCTTGGGGAAGAGGAAAAGAGTTATGTGAATGTTGGGCCAGAAGAGAATTGGAAAGGAAATAAAAAGGGGTGAGTCAAAGGAGGAGGGCTGTAGGTGGTAATGGATATTTTGGAATACCTGCAACGGAATGTGTGCTCTTCGTATATGCAGAGCAGCAGGTGGTAAAGATAAATCCTTAAATCTTCACATATTTGTGTTTGCCACTTTGAGGAAAGAAAGAATGAATTTGGGGTGACACCACAGCACGTAGGAACTCATTAGGGCCATGGAAAGCTGGTAGATAAACAGGCTCAGAAAAGTTAGTCTAACAATGAGCTATAACAGATGTGCAGTTCCTGATAAATAGTCTGTTAACTTCATCTTAGATTTGAAACAGACAGTTATAATATGAAGTGACACATGCAAATTGCTCTATGATGTGAATCATAGGCTACTGTACAAAACCAAGCAGTGTACAGGTGAAGCTCTAAGCAAGTAGGTTAGCTGCAGGTGCAGAGCAGGACTCTAGAAAACTTGAAAAAATGGGGCAGGATTGCCACCCAGCAGAGAATTTTAATGTAAGCATAACAGTAAACATGGGATAGTGCCTGTGGTTTCAGTTGGATTACTTTTACTGAAATTCTCTTTTGGTACTGCATGGTTGTCGGAACAAAAAAATTTAAGCTTAGTGCTTCAAGATGAAAGAAAGGGGTGGGGGGAAGCATCTATCTATTTCAAATGTTTCTCTGCTTTTATCTCAAACCAGCTGCAGGGGAAAATTTACAGATGAGATTTATTCAGTTGAGACCCAGTCATTATGCAGTCCATTCCAAGGTTCAGTTGCTTACTGCAAGAAACCAGTACAGTGATGACTTACTCAGTAACATTTAGAAATGTTTCATGTATAAGCTCCAGAAATGAGGAGCAAGACAGTTTTGGACCGAGTAAATCTGAGTGTCTTTGATGTATTAGAACCTACTGACTAACCTTGTACTGATTGATCCTAGTGCAATCTGATAAAACAATCTCTTTTTCTCCTTTCATAAGTAAAAGAA